AGGGAACAAATTCCTTTATTCCATATAGGTATTTATATTTTGTTACTTATAATTTTCGGTTATACTATTTGTTATTTTATTTGCTGCAGGACCCAGTATCATCTATTTTTTATATGTGTTGGTGCCCCCTTTCTCTGATAGATATGTTAAAGACACCCGATAAAATAAAAGTAAGTAGTTATATTTATCATCTTATTAAGAAAAAAGTAGAAGTATAGTAGTGTCAAAAATATTTCGAACCTCTCTTAACATAACAAATTAATACAATTAATTTTTTTCATTATTTGGGTAGGTAGTTTATAGCTGGTTTATAGTAACCAGAAACTTTATTAATATACCTATTTTACTTTTGTTTTAGGATTAAAACTGGACTTGAAAATGGTTCAGGATCATGATTCTCGCAGTCTTCTTTGCTTGGATATTCACTTTATTATTGCAATTAGGCAGTTTTTTCGAAAATGAGATTTTTAATGCCCTTTAAAAAAATTGGCCGATCGTTTCCTGCAACAGTCAGTTCTTCTGCAGTTAAAATTGGTAGGTGGGTGGAATAAACACTGTTATTTTTTGTTATTATATTATAAAAAGTTTATTTATTTTTATGTATAAATAAATATGTTTATAAAACAGTACAATTTTTGCTTTTTTTTATAATTTCCCTTATAATAGCAGTATTCTTTCGTTCTGAAAGAAACTGCAAATTTTCACTTAAACTGATTTATTCTCTACACCACGTTCCCTTTACGTGGTATAGGGAATAAATCAGTTTAAGTGAAAATTTTCAGTTTCAAAATGAAAGAATACTACTAATAAAGGCTAATTTAAATTTTCCGCCAGCCAGAATGTGCGGTAATGTCTTACGATACGTTTTATACCTATCTCTTTCTTTTTCATATAAAGCACGCTTAATAAAAAAAGATAGCAATAAAGACTGCCATCGTCCTGCTAATTGGTTTCAAAATTGTTATTCTGAGTTGCGCTACGGGAACGCGGTCACACTCTTACCATGGGATTTGTCAGTCTCTTTTTATTTGTTTGTCTATGGCGTACAGACTGTGCAATTACACTAAATTGTTGTTAAATTTACAATGAGAAGAGGCAATTTGGAGAGTTATTAATTATAAAAATGGTAAGACACTGTAGAACATGAAAAAATATGTGTTCTTGAAGAAAGATAAGAGTTTTGTCACTTGCCAGGCAATTTACCGCACAATATGGTCGAAACGATCTACAAAAACGACGATATTGCTCTCCTTAGTCCTTGTAAAACCACAGATTCGTTATTTTATTTCGTGAAATTTACGATCGACGCCACTTAACGGCAGCCGGCGCCCTAGCGGACAAGATATGAGGAGCCGTTGCGGAAAAAGCAGTTTTATATATATTTCCCCGTGTAGTTTTTCCACTTTATTGGAAAATTTCGACGCTGGAGAACACGTGTGAGTAATGGCGGGCATTACGAGGCTTTTATTTGATTTATAACGCTCCGCCAGATATTCTTTTCCTTTATGGATTCCATCAGTTTTTTTTTTCTTTGCTATAGATATTATCCCTCTCATCCTATATTAAAAAAAAAACCTTTTGTTGATACAGGGTGAGTTTTAAATATGCCTAGTGCCATTTTGGACGCAAAATACAGTAGTTTTTTCTACAATCTTTTTTCGTGTTGAAACCAAAATTTTTTTTATACATACCATATGTCCTCGGATTGTCTTTACAAGAGGAAAAAGCTTTTTTATTATTGACATTATTTTGAGAAAAATGTATTATTCATAAAAAATTTTGCTTGTTCTAAAATGGTTAATCCCTTTTATACTTTTCCAAATACTTATCCATACCGTTTTAGAAAAAATTTAAAAAAAAAACATGAAAATATAGGTTTTTGAATTTTTTCGAAGTCCCAAAAACTAAAAGACAAAATTGCCCTAGAAGCAAAAAATTCAAATTGCCGTCTAAGAAAAATTGCCGTCTTTATTAAAAAGATCACGCAATATATATTTTTAAATAAATAAACAAACTCCAATTCCTCCTTAATCCAGTCCTGTTTTTAATTATTTCCAATTAATTCCCAACAATACGACAATACCTAATTTACCATTTAATCAAATAAACATATTATTACAGTCAATTAAAAGTCAGGGATCAAGTCATAAATATTTAATTTAATTATTACAGATGTGAATTTAATTTAAAAATAAACCACTTCTACTAGCGACATCTATCACCAATTCTTTGCGTTAATGTCGAAAATTAAATGAATTTCGTATACCTAGAATACCTAGATACCTTTTTTCCTTAAATACCTGTCATCTAACGTGGAATAGCTAGAATACAGCGAATTTTTAAATGTGTTACAGGTTTCTTTTAGTTAGAAAGTAATACAGTATTGTGTAGAGAGATGGCACAAGAGTCAAAATTATTTTTAGTACGTTTTAACACTCATAGATGCCTCGATAAAACCGTATGTATTTGAAATTATTGTTTGAATTTCTTTGGGATTTTTTTTAAATATTGTTCTTTAATACTAGTGGTTATTTAAAAAAAACAAATTTATTTATCAAAAACCGAACAAGGGTTCTATATGGAACCCTTATATATATTTTTTATTTAATTACAAATATATAGTTTTCAGATTGTTTTCTATACTTGTAGTTCGTAGACATTTTTAGTGTCTTGAATTATATTTTAATTTGTTAATTGTATAAATATAATTTTTTTAATTACTGTCTTTAAATATATACGTATGTACAGGGTGGGTCAAATTCGACGCTTTTAAATGGAAACACCCTTTTCTATAGGAGATAGACAAAAACTAATATCGGTGTCTGGAGCTTAATTGTTGTCAAAAACATGATGGTGAAAACCGCATATCGATATCTGTTACCATTTCGGAGTTACGGGGTGTTTTTCAAAAATATGCATTTTTAACAAATCGCTGTAACCTTTTTGCTAAGGAAAATTTTTTATTTTTATGAAAACTTTTCCAAGGCACCTTTTTACGTAGAATTTAATGGTTTAAGTATAATTTTTTTAAAATTAATAATTTAAGAACTATCAACAGAAAATTTGTTTTTTTATATGGGACACCCTGTATATTTGTAATTTATTGAAAATAATTTAAAAATTACCTTTCCAAATATATAACACACTTGATATTTTGCTCGATTCCTCTTCGAGTTATAGAGGATATAAAAATTCGCCGGCTTTAACTAAGTAGGCTTTCAACGGCACCGGCTGGAATGCAAAAAAATTCTAGCTGTGAGCATCAATTAAAACGAAAATAATATTTGCTATGAGAGATGCAGAATTTTATAACAATTTAAAATATATTTAACCAACATCAACACATTTAAAACAATAAAAATAAATAGCAAACCAAGGCATGAGATTTTGCTACGGCTTTTGTTCGACATTTCGACCGTCTTCTGTTATGGACAGACGGGGCAGTTTTTGAACATTTCTCGCGAAATTCATTAACTCAGTGGGGGGTGAGAGATACCCTCTCATAATCAATAAGGGGTTCAAAGCCTACTAGTTAAAAGTCGCGAACTTTTAAAAATTCGGTATTTCGAAGGGGATTATGACAAAATATCAAGTGTGCTATATTTTTGGAAAGGTAATTTTAAATTCTTTTCATTTAATTAGAAATATAGAGGGTGTCCCAAATAAAAAATCAATTTTTCTGTTGATAACTCTTAAATTATTAATTTTAAAAAAATTATACTTACACCATTAAATTCTACGTAAAAAGGTGCTTTGGAAATGTTTTCATAGAAATAAAAAATTTTCCATAGCAAAAAAGGTACAGCGATTTGTTAAAAATGCACATTTTTGAAAAACACCCCGTAACTCCGAAACGGTAACAGATATTGATGTGCGGTTTTCACCATCATGTTTTTGATGAAAATTAAGCTTCAGACACCGATATTAGTTTTCCTCTATCTCCTATAGAAAAGGGTGTTTATGGTGTTTCCATTTAAAAGCGTCGAATTTGACCCACCCTGTACATTCCAAAAAATATAAAAAAATATATTTTTCTTTGTATTGTTCTTTAAATTGTTACTATAATATCCTAGACGCTTATTTACTTACAGATAATAAAGCTTATTTACTTACAGATATATTTTAATAATTGTTTTATTATATTTTAACTTAAAATATATAATAATCAAAGGTGAATGTCCTTTATATATTAAAAAGAATATTTTGTTTAATATTCAGGAGTAATAATCAGACTAGTTTATTTTAGAATTAAAGGAAATGTGCTTTTTAAAACTGATAAAATAATGTTTAACAATGCATAATAAAAAATTATTTAAACTTTTATAACACTCATTAAAAAAGAATTTGCTGTGATATGTTACAAGTGAAATCAAGGTTATAGGGGAGAGCATAGTAGATCAGAACAGAAGTATTTGATATTTTTTATTTTCTATTTTGTCTCAGAAAAATATGAAAACATAGATTTTCTTTCCTAAATGTTTTGTGTCAAAACCGACATTTTTTTCTTTGCATTTTGTATAGAGTTAACTATTTATATATTTTTTTGCATTTGCCTTAGATGTTTAAGTAGCGCATCTGTTATTTTTATTTTTAAATAACTATTATAACTTAATCTATATTTGTTAAAAATATATTTTTTAATAATGTTAATAATCAATGCCATTTATTGACAACGTAAAAAAACAACATATTATTGAGTCTCTACCCTACATTATATTTTCACACGTTTAAATCAAATTAGAGCGGCACTGATAAACCGAAATGTAGCCATATTAATCCCCCATTGACCTTCCATAATTTTTTTTATTCAAAAGGAAAAAGCTAGTAGAAGCGTATCAAGATAAATAAAAATGGAATGTATCGATATTTTCCAAATAAAAAATCGATACTACCTTACCATCTCTAGTTACAGATACCCAAAAAAGATCGATATTTTAAAAGTATCGATACACTGTGCCCATCTCTAGTTATAAATATTTTTTTACACCGGTTCCCCTACTTTAAATTACATAAAGACGCTTAGGCAAGCACGGAAGTGGTACCTTGGACGATTTTTCTATTGATTTCAAGTCGTACTCGGTAAATACTGAATTTTGACCAGTATCAGCTGTTTGTAATCTTCTATAGCGTCTATTTTAACGTTTTAACGTGTAACCTATATTTAAAAGCGTAGAAAGTAAAAATTTATTTAAAAAAGTTTCAAAATGACAGGTTTAGACAAGGTTTTTATTGGCAAAATTGTTAATAGTCTTTCTGGCTTGAAAGTGGAAGTGTTTGAAAGAGGGTATGTGACAGTTAGGGGAAGACAGGTAAGGAAATATGTTTTTTTTGTTATTGTTTGTGTCGGCATGTACAGGGTGAATCAAGAAGAGAGAAAAAAATAATTATCTGATTTCTGATTTTTTTGTTTTAATAATAACTACGAAAAAAATGTTAATATAGAAAAGTTTCAGAGAATATTATAAAATACAAGATTTAAAATTATTTTACTATACAGGGTGTATAAAAAAAGTGTGGCGGATATATTATTTTTTTAAAGGTATGAAAATTATTTTGAATTTTGAAAAAATAATAAAAATGTATACGGCTCTGGTTCCTTTATTTCAGTGGTCCTGTCCTGTATTTTAATGTATGCGACAGAGATAAATATAAATGACAGACAGAGAGACAAAATAAAAACGGCATACAGTGTTGCCGGTTTCTTGCGTGTGTAAGGCCAGCTGGCAGTAAGCACTATTAAAAAACGAAGAGTCTGACCAACTAGTAGATGTCTCGCCAAAATTATCATCGATTGTAGCCGTTTTTGACGCTTTTTTTCGATTTGTTTTAATAATATTTCATTAAACAAAATTATCTACTGAAACACCTAATATATTGGCCATAACACTAATGCTTTTTCTTCCAGATCATCGATATAGGCAACCTAGCAGACAAGTGTGAATGTCTGGATAAGAAATTTGGCAATGTCGAAAGAATCCAGCTAAAAAACAGTCAGATTTTGATCCCAGGTTTCGTGGATACCCATATCCACGCTCCTCAGTATCCGAATTGCGGCCTTGGATACGACAAAACTCTGTTGGATTGGTTGGACGCGTACACATATAAACTGGAGAGGGTATACAGGGATTCTAAGTTTTCTAAAGACGTTTTTGACAAAGTCGTTGTAAGTATATGCCATTAGATACTATCAGAGATGTTAGACCATTTTGATATTAAAGCATAGATATTTACCATTATTTGCCATTATCAGAGAGATATAGAGGTAGGGGTATTGTTTTAATTTACTCAAACCTAGACTTAAATCCCTCTGAACTCTTCTAAAAAAAAACTCACAGAATTACAGAAAAGCACATATAATACCTTTAATAAATTCAAATTAATCTATAGGCTTGGTGGCATTTCAGTTGATTTCAACAAATTCCGACCCCAGCGCGCAGCGCTTCTTCTAAAATTATAATTATGTACCTTTAAAAAGTTTCGTTATAGCCGAAATAGCCCTAATTATGTCCCACTAGCAAAACCGGTGATTAAAACTATGCTCGCTACCGTAGTTGAACTCATATAAAAAGTTTTTTTAACTGAAATAATAAATTATAATACAAATTAAACCTTCTGAAGATATCCAAATATTTACTTTTTTATTTTTATTTTTAGAATTTTCACAAATTATACTTCCTAACACTTTTAAACCCGTGTATTTGTAAGTACTAGTTGTTTACGATATTCTCCGATGGTTGCAGCACCGGCGGAGAATGCACCAAGCCTATAGAAAAGCCAAATAAAGCTGACAAAACAGTGAGACGTGTTTCAAACAGTGGCTTCCTTAGCTTTTTTGTTCATTGATTATTTCTTCTCTTCATATAGAAAAAATGTCTGGATCATGGTACAACCACCGCATGTTATTATGGACCGTTATTTAATAGTGCAAACGTCATATTGACAGACTCAGTAGAGAAATATGGTCAGAGGGCGCTGATTGGGAAGGTTACTATGACACAATCTCCGTATCCAGATTATGTTGAAGGTGAAGAGGAATTTATGAAAAATATAACAGAGTTTGTACGACATGTTTTGTCTAGACAGGTGAGAGATTTTTGAACACTACAATATACAGGGTAGAATTAGAATTAGAATAAGTGGGAGGGGGGTTAATCTCTGCGACCTTAGAGATCTATTGTGTCCCCCTTTCTTGAGTTATAACTCATCATACAGTCCCAGGACTTCCTACGGAGACCCGTGTCCCTCACAGTCGAGGAGCTACGACCCAGGCCGGGTAGACGAAACGGTAGTTTGTGTCGCCTGTTGGGTTTAGAGGTAGGAGGTAGGCTCCCCACCCTTGAAGGAGGTGGTAGCTTGTATGCCATTTGCGGAGGATGGTCTCACGCAAGTGTCAGCCACCTCTCCTGTAGTTCTCTTTGGGTTTGGCCCCTTAGAACTTTCATTGTTACTGTTCCCAGTGTCGCTAGGGGGTTTCCCCACAGCTTCACCGGTGATGTTTTTATTACTATTATTATCAGATCACATAGTGTTCCTATGAGTCGCTAGGGACAGTCGGTCCACTTCTACAGAGCCCCGCATGTAGAAGTAAGGGGTAAAATACAATGGGGTGCCCCCCGGTGCCCCAAGGTTGAGGCTGTCCGTAGCCCCGCCCGGTATCGTTATATGTCTTGGTGCAATTCCCTGGCCACGACACTATAGTCAGGGACAAGACGATGAGTGAGATGCTTCTTAGACCAAGCCAAGTGCTAGAGGGGATTCCCCCCAGTACCTGACCAGGAGCTTCCCCACCAACGACAAGGTCTTGCATCTCCTAGGGGAAGAGTATGCAGGGTATGTCTTAAATAAGTACAAATTTTTCCAGGGCTGGTATCGTAGATCTCGATAAAAGAAACATATTTTCTTTTTACCGTTTTTCAAAGTAAGTCCAAAATAACCGAGTTATTCAAGTTTGAAAATTAATAAAAATGATGATCATGGTAATATCAGAGATTCAGAAATTACACAGTGGAAAAATTTGCGGTGAACAGACAGTTCTAAAAAGTTTTCTAAAGTATACAGGAAAATTTAAAAGAAAATACACGATTTTCGACATCTTTTTTGCCAAAAAACTCATAGACGTGTTCCTGGGGTCGAAATATACCACCACTAAAAATACTTCTACTTATTTCAGACTCACCCTGTATATTTCGTTTTTTATTTTAAATAAAAACCAGGTTTTACTTGATACATTTTGACTGAACAAGTAAGATATAAGACGTTATGTTTGTAAGGGGCTTTAAGCTTTTTTTTCTCAAAGAGAATTGAGAAATCTCAATTCTCATTGAGAATCCCCAATTGTTACTTACTGAAATTTATCACTCTGTATATAGTTTTTTCACATATTTTTTTTTCAGAATGACCTAATTCAACCTATAATCACACCCAGGTTTGCCTTGAGTCTCAATTCATCTCAAATGAGACAACTGGGTGATCTTGCTGAATCTCAAAATCTCCATATTCAGGTATATTATTTTTAAATTACTTTAAAACAAATTGTTCATTTTTTTATATTGATATATTGTGTCTATGTCTTTATTATATTTATTACTTAATATACAGGGTGTCAAATTTTTTTTTATATTAATATATATTTTTTGTTAAATATTTTAGCTTAAAACATTAGCAATATTTTATTTAACCTTTTTTATTTTCTCTGATAAGGTTTATTGTTTTCTGTTCTTTTAGACTCACATAGCAGAGAATAAGGACGAAATTCGCATGGTGCAAGAGACTTACAACAAACCCTACGCTAGAGTCTATGACGACGCCAAACTTCTAACTAATAAGGTACATACTACTATAAAAATACGATTTAAAAAAAAATACAAAATTTACTGACTTTGTTTTACATGATATATCTGACAACTTTTTGTACTGAAAGAACCGCGTTTTGAGACATAATCAGCTTAATTTCTAGACAGTTTTATTAACACCCTGTATATCAAGTTGTGTTAACACTCTGTATATCATATATCGTTATATAAGAGTCTCGCTTTCTCTGAAACTTCAGCATTATAAAACCCAGAGTTTTTTCTTGACGAAATGGTGAATGCGCCTATAAAAAATAATTTTAAAACTGGAATTAACCTGAATTAACAGACTAAAAAAAATACATTCCGTGTATTGTTGGTTGCCTATTAGTCAGGGCACAGCATAAGATGTTTAAAAAATGTATTTCCAGAAAGTATCATTTAATAAATATTTCTTTAATTATTTATGGGTTAATTTTTTTCTTTATAAGTTATAATATATTAAAAGCCAACTGTTTATTATATATTTATTTTATTACATAAAAGCAACACGAATTATCTAAGTTAAATATTCACAAACTTACAGACCAGAGCAACTACCTATTTCATAGTTTATTGAAGAGTAATATAAGAAAAATTATTAAATATTATTTAGATATTAGCTTAATCATCTTAACTTCTAGACAGTTCTGGCACACGGGATCTACCTGACCGACGAAGACTTAGATCTAATTGCTGAGAGAAATACGGGCATCTCCCACTGTCCAGATTCCAACACATGTCTCAAATCTGGACTGTGCGACGTCAAAAGACTGTTAGAACGAGGCATCAAAGTTGGCCTGGGTTCAGGTTAGTTATACTCGCTTGTTCTTTGTTATAGACTGTATACAGGGTGGCCCGTTGTGTTTTTTTCTTCGCAGACGTATCAGGAGGGCCTGTCCCATCAATAAGACAAGCGATGAAGTCAGCTTTGGATACGTCAGTCCATCTGTCGTTTATTAAAGATAATTATGAACCTCTAACTTACGATCAAGTATTTTGTTTGGCTACCATAGGCGGTGCTGAAGGTATTTTTTTATGTTTTTTTAAAACACTCTTTTTTAATTAATTTTTTTTGTTTCGTTTACAGTACTTCACATGCAGGAAAAAATTGGAAATTTTGCTGTTAACAAAGAGTTTGATGCTCTGATCGTTGATGTTGATGTTGAGAGTTGTCAGGTTGATGACGTATTAGACCGCACGCCACTGGAGATACTTCAAAAGTTTGTTTATTGCGGGGATGACAGGAATGTGGTCGGTATTTATGTGGCTGGTCGCAAGGTAAAATAAGCATGTTTTTTGTAATTTTATTCTTAAGTTTTGTAATAAAATAATATATAGAAATATATTTTTTTATTTGTTTTATTTTGAGGGTCTAAGTTGTCTAAACAAGGATTCAAAATATATACGGAGTGAGTCCTAAATAAGTGCCAATATTTTTAGGGCTGGTATATCTCGATAAAAGAAACTTATTTTCTCTGTACCGTTTTTCAAATAAGACCAAAGTAACTGAGTTATTCAAGTTAGAAAACTTAAAAAAAAATATTTGTTTTTAAAAATTAATTTTTTTTCTGTACAGGGTGGCGCCTCTCATACGCCGCGGAGGCTTCAAGGAGAACGACAGTTTGTATTGAAATGTAATTTTGTGAGCCTATGTAGGTTAATTCAGAGCACTTTTTAAAAATATAGAGCGTTCTACAGGGTGTTCTAAAAAAAAGTTACATATCAAAGTTGTGTTTTTGTAATGGAACACCCTATATATTAATTGATTTTCGGATTCTGGGAGAAAAATAAAGGTGAGTTTTATAAGAGAAGTATATGGCTAAAATGTAAGGTTTTTGACATATTTAACATTTTCTAGAAATAAAGAACAATTTTAAAATTACAATAAAAGCAACCAAAATTGGAATTTATCCGGTATAGCCTAATATGTAATTAAATTAACTATTGTACTTTAAATCAAATTAAAACTTGATCCAAAAAGTTATACAGGGTGAGACAAAATTAATATTGAACATTGGTCACCTTTAAAAGCATGTTACTCTCTTATTTTAAATAGAACACCCAGTATATTATTCCGATTTTCAATGGAGAATTCATGTCTCTTCAAAATACTATTAAGGTTGCCTACCCCTCAAACAAAGATTTTCCTAGATATTTTCATTTACATGATTTGATCTGAGTAGATCTTTATTATTGGATAAAATCTAGGTGGCTGTGATATGTTTGACTTTACTTCAACATAGCTGTCTAATTAGTCCAACTTTAACGACTAGTTATCATTTTCTGTCAGTTAAACAAAAAAATTTCCCAGAAATTTGTCAAAAATGCAAACTTATCCTACATCAGAAAGAATTGATATGATTCTATTACTTAATGAATGTAGTGTGCATTCACCAATTAATAGAATACTTAAATGCTCTGATTTTATCTAGTCTGGTTTTTTTTATGGGGATATGTTGAAGACAGTGTTTATAAAACTCGACCAACTAGTGTCGATAACATGAGAGAAATTATTGTAGCTGCTTTTCTAGGTAAAACTCCACATATGCCTTTTAAAATGAAAAGATCCTTTTGAAAAGACAATCATTTTATGCAGTTAACAGGAAAGGAAGCATTTTGAGCATTTAATTTCATCTAGCTAATTTTTGTCGCATAATTATAGGTATATATCTAGTTTTAATTCTGTAATAATTAAAATGTTTTAAACGTGTATCTTTTTATTACCGTTGAGTATTTTACTCTACAATCTGAAATTTTTGTTAAATTAACAAAAAGTATATCACAGCCACCCCTAGATTTTTTCAAATAATAAAGATTTACTGACGCAAAATCATAAAAATTAAAATATCTGGGAAAATCTTTGTCCGAGGGGTAGGCAACCTTAATAATATTTTGAAGATATATAAATTCCCCTTTGAACACCGGAAAAATATACTGGGTGTTCCATTTAAAATAAAGGAGTAACTTGCTTTTAAAAGTGACTAATGTTCCATATTAATTTTGTCTCACCCTGTATAACTTTTCGGGTCAAATTTCAATTTGGTTTAATATACATTGGTTACTGTAATTAAATATCAGGCTATACAAAGTCAACTAAAATTTAGGTAGCTGTTATCGAAATTTAAAATTTACTCTTCATCTTCACAAAATGTGAAATATGTCAAAATCCTTAGATTTTAGGTATATGCTTCTTTAATAAAACTGGCTTTTATTTTTTTCCTAGAATCCGAAAATCAATTAATATATAGGGTGTTACCATATAAAAAAACACAACATTGATGTGTAACTTTTTTTGGGGACACCCTGTATAATTCTGTATATTTTTATAAAATGCTTTCACTTAACCTACATATGCTGCCAAAATTTCATTTCGATATAAACTACCGTTTTCCTTGGAGCTTCCGCGGCGTATGAGAGGCGCCACCCTGTATTTGGATCCCTCTTAAGTGTCGTAAATATAGAGTAAAGCTGTAATCACATGATAATATATCAGAGATTAGGAAATCGTGGGAAAATTTGCGGTGAACGTGCAAAAATATACAGGAAAATTTAAAAGAAAATGCACGATTTTCAACATTTTTTTTCTCACAAAAAGCCTCATAGTTTCTGAGGTCGAAATATACCACCCTAAAAATATTTACACTTATTTAAGACTCATCCTGTATAGGACTGTATTTTTATCAATTTATTAAAGAAAATCTGCTAAAAAATTTAAAGAAATACCCTGGATACTTCTTATTCATACCATCATGCTTAGTACGACGCTTTTTTTAATTAATCACTACTTTTATTATGACCCCTCCTGATTTATGGTACAGATAACATTGTGTTTTAACACAGAATAGATAATTATTCTTTATACTGCGGTTTTACTATGATGTGTGATTGTAGTAAATTTTTTGAAAGTAATCGAAAACATCGTCAATATAAAACTAAAAAAATTGGAGGTAGGTAACTAAGTTAAATAGTTTTTAGCGAAATACCAACTTTTTATAAGAATATTTCGATTTCTCCAAGCATCTTAAATGCAATACGTTTAGGATTGTTCCTTAATGAACACTATTTAAATTAATTTTTGCCTTGTTAATTATTTAAATGTTTTAAAGAACCTCTAGGAATCGCAGGATATTAAAAAGAAATTGATTTTTTCAAATATTTACTTTATTTAACTCTAAAATAAGAAAATTTTGGCAGCTTTTTTAACCAAACATTTAAATTAATACTTTAATTTTACGTCCATAGATGGCGCATTTTAAATATTTACCGGCAAACAGGTTCCTATATTTTATGGCTCGAGCGCCACCTATGTTGCGATAGCGGTACTAAAAAAATTAATTGAAGCGACATCTATTTATTACTTGCTGTACTAACACGTTTTCTGGCGCCATCTATATATCAAAAGTTTAACTAATTTTGAGTTAGCGCCATCTATGAGAATTTCATAAAACTTATTCTCCGTCTTTGTCTATTTTTTTCTCTCTCGCACTCATTGCATAAGTTTGTCCTTTTTTAGCGCTTTATCTATCTCTCTCACACGCATTACAAAACTCCCACCTATCATTTTGTGATAAAATAAAATTGATATAAAAAAATAAACACTTATTAAATTTTTGTAGAAAGAAATAAAAAATGTAATACATAGGCAGACAACAGATAGATATATAGTTATATAATACACGAAGCACATCCAGCAAAACTTGAGAATAACGCAGTTAGTTGAAAATAAGTATGTATTTAAATAGTAATAATTAAGGAAAACAAACCATTCCTTTGAATGTTTATCTCATGTAAGTTTACTTTATTACCCTCATTTTTTTGATAAAGTTGACTCAAAATTTAACACTCATGTAGTATAATACACACTATAAAATATAAAACATGAAATACTATTCATATGTGCAATTCATTGCAATGTCGTATTTATCTTATAAAAGATTTGAACTGTAGAGGCACATAAGTTTAATATAAAGGCATGTAAAGTTTTAATACACATTGATTACAGCATATTTATATCTTTTATTGTTTTATAGGGTTCATTCTAATGCTTACAAAGGATTCTGGGCTATAATAAAGAGCAATTTTCGTAGAAGAAAGCAACAGTATCTTTTAAAGACGAATGAAGTTATGTAGGAAGTCTGTTGTACTTTAATAGAACTTTGTCAGGATCATAAGTCAGGATCAGTCAATAGTCAATCATTGGTTCCGTTTAAGGTAAAAGGTAAGTAAAAGAATGTATAACGATAACCATAGCTGAAGCAATTTATTTTGAATAAAAGCATGATTTATTTTAGTCGTAGTGAAGTTGTTACCGGTAACCAGTGTTACCGGTAACAATATCACAACAGTATAACAGTATCAGTATACTGTTAAGTAAAATCAATTCTAGTGTCTTGGCAGTATCATTTATTCAAACTAATTGCTGCTTTACTAGAAAGTTTTCTTACTTAATTGACTGTTTTTTATGTGTTTACAGCAATGCTGTAATCATAAATATATATGTATAATGCCCTTTTCTTTAATATATATTTTTAAATTTGTTCATGTCTAGTAAGCCGATCTTAATACATATTAATATTGTTTTATTTCAAAGGATAGATACAAAATTGGAGTCATTTTCTATGGACACAAGGAAGAAGGCAAAATGCTACATAATATGTTCACGAAATTCACTGAAATCATCCAGGAATTATTTGTATTTGCAAATAGAATGATGGACCATCAAACAGGTAAAGATTTCTTACTTTTATTACAATTTTAATAAACAGTTGCTTTGTGTAAATGTTGAAAAAATGCACCATAAATCTATGATAATATTTTTATTTAGTATTGCATTACTTGTAAGTTTGTATTTGATTTGAAAGCCCCCATGAATACAGTAACGTGTATTGTTGGTTGTATATGTAGTCAGGGGGTTTAAAAAATGCATTTCCAAAAAGTATCATTTATTAAATATTTCTTGAAATTTTTATGATTTAATCTTTTTCTTTATAAGTTAGATACTACTTCAAGAGCCAACTGTGTATTATATAGTATCTATTTTATTACATAAAAACAACATGAATTATCTAAGTTAAATATTCAAACTTACTGACTAGAGCAACTATCTATTTCATTGTTTATTGAAGAGTAATATAAGAAAAATTATTAAATATTATTTATCCTTCCCTCTATTGCCCATAATAAAATAATACTCTTATGTTATTATTTAGATATTATAGTATCTTTATTTGTAGGACTCCATAATTATTGAAGGTGGTCTAATGAATTTGTTCATGGAATAAGAAACAGACAAAGGACAATGATTGGCTAAGGATATACATTCAAGCAGCAGAAGATAGAGTTCAAACAGCCATAGTTATAACTAAAGGTAAATATTCTGGGAATATTATTGCAAAAACCAATACTCAAAAATAAAAATAAATGTTTTCTTTAATGGCATATATGATACTATATCGCCAATGGTCCAATATTTTGATTACTTTGGCCGAAATATGAATTTGAATAGAAAAATATGTTGATTGAAGAAAGAAATTGGTGTTACCGCCCGTCATTTCAAGGCTAATTTTTTCCTCTAATTGACGAGTTGTGTGAACACTTTGTATATGATATACTAGTTATATGAGAGTCTCGTTTTCTCTAAATAAGACTTCTAAACTAAATATTTTATATCAGCATTAGAAAACCTAGAGTCTCTTCTTGACGAAATGGTGAATGCGCTATTAAAAAATGTTTTATATTTCTTGAAATTAACAGACTTTATTTGCCTAGCTAACAACAATAGAGCAACTACCTATTTCATTGTTTATTGAAGAATAATATAAGAAAAAATATTAAATATTATTTATCCTTATCCTAATCGCCTTTAATAAAATAATAAATAATACTCTTATTTTATTATTTAGATATTGTAGTATCTTTATTTGTAGGACTCCATAATGATTCAAGGTTGTCTAATGAATTTGTTTATGGAATAAGAAACAGATAAAGGACAATGATTGGATAAGGATATTTATTCAAACAGCAGAAGATATAGTTCAAGCAGTCATAGTTGAACTAACTAAAGGTAAATATTCTGTGAATATTACTGCAAAAAAGAAACACAAAAACAAAAATAAAAAATAATGTTTTTTCAATGGCATATTATACAATACTATAATTCGCCAATGATCCAATATTTTGGTTACTTACTATACTTAGCAAACTTATTTTACATAGTATTGCCCAAAATATGAATTTGAATAGAATATTGTGCCGATTGAAGACAAAAATGGGCGTTATCCTTCGTAATTTCCAAACTAAATTTTGTCTCTACTGGACGAGTTGTATTAACACTCTGTATATCATATATCGTTATATAAGAGTCTCACTTTCTCTGAATAAAGGTTCTAAACTCAATATTTTATATCAGCTTTATAAAACCGAGGGTTTCTACTTGACGAAATGGTGAATGCGCCTATATAAATAATTTTATACGATTCGTGAAATTACTTAAAAATGTAAAAATAAAATTAAGGTAACATAAATTCTGTAATTTAAATAGTACAAATGCATGTATTTTTATATATTATAACTTATAATTCGATTGATATAATATATGTACCTATACCGGGTGTTTTGCAAAAGTGGCTCATCCCTATAACTTGTTTTTTCAATTCTACGACTTGTACAGTTGTACTGTCAATTCTGATAAATTTCTATTATCTGTTTGTTTAGTATCAACAATGGTATATTTGTAATAGATATATCCATAAGTGACGCAACTAGACTAACATTTGGGGGAGCTTAAGCCTGGTGGTAGGGGGGCTCAGCTCACTTATAAGATAATATTGATTTGAAATGCGCCAATCATCTGTACGGTTAAATTTAAGGTTGATGGGGCTAAGCACTCTCTAGCCCCCTCTATTTGCGCCACTGGATGTATCTATTAGATACATATTGAATAGACACATATCTATTTCATATACCATGAAGTGTTCTCTGTATTATTATTTTTATTGACCTAGTGTTATTTATAATAATAATAAATATTATTTATTGTTAAACAAATTTGTGTTCAACTTAGAATAGCTGGGAATTTGGGCTCTGTTGAATTTTTAAAGCAGTGACATTTTACTACTTATTTAAAGCTAGTTATGTCTTTTTATTACAGGTTTGGATCTCCGGAACACATTATCTCGTAAGCTGACCAAATGGACCCGATCCTACATTCCAACGACACTGCAAGATACTCATAACTACCAGCTGGTTTTTGTTTACTTTAATATAATTTTGCATAAAATATTTAGTATTTTTAGATGGCATTATATTCAGCATAATTACATTTAAATAAAACTTACAGATCTTTTAAATTGATTTTTATTTACCCTGTATATGACCTCTTTGCTCTTATATTAACGCTCAAAATATTTAATTTCTATCAGAACACAAAGAGCAAGGAGGTATATATGAGATCCCAATAACCAAATATATACCTCTTCGCTCTTATGTACTCCTGATACAAATCCGAGAAAATTCAGCTTTTAATTCTTTGAAAACTTTTAATCCTTGTCCAAAATCACTGACTTCTATCAGGAGCACATAAGTGTGCAGAGATAAGCAATAAATTGAGTACCAATATTTACCTAGTCGCTCTTATGTACAAATCCGACAAAATTCAATTTTTGTCAAAGACCGCACAAAAATTTTTAAACCGGGTCAAAAATCGCTGATTTCTATCAGGAACACATAAAAGTGAAGAGGTAAGGAGCAAATTTAGTACCACATATAAATATAGCATTGATCAACGATATTTCTGCTATCTCTAGCACTTCGACCTCGTTTCCAAACTTCAACCCTTAATATCTCGGAAACTATAAGGGTTAGAGAGGAACGGAACTCGGCATTCAATAGGCATTTCAACCCTCTATAAGGGCGCAAAACGAGGACGCGATCGGAAACAAAAAAAATTTTTGGCGAAAAATGAGGTAAGGGGTTAACCTTCCTTCATTTTTGCCGAAAAAATTTTTTTGTCTCCGATCGCGCCCTAATTATGCACCCTTATAGAGGGTTGAAAGGCGAATCGAATGCCGAGTTCAGTTCCTCGATATCTCTTTTAGTTTAGAAGTTATGGCCGTTTTTCGAAAAAATCTAACTCGTTCGAGCTCGTTGGTCAAGTCCTCTGATTTTTACCAAGTGGAATTTATTTTGACTACCTTTTATTAAAAACTGACGCTTGGATTTTCGATCAGCGCATATAAGAGCGAGTTCGTACAGCCTTTGACAAAAATTTAATTTTCTCGGATATGTATCAGGAGCACATAAGAGCGACTAGGTAAATATTGGTACTCAATTTACCTCTTCACTCTTATGTGCTCCTGATAGAAAATCGGTGATTTTGGACAAGGATTGAAAGGTTTTCGTGCAATTTATTTGAATTGTATCAGGAATACATAAGAGCGAGGGGGTAATGGTAGATATTATTTTTATATAAAATACTGCCTATTTCTGAACAACTTATTAAGTTGTTTATTATTATATTATTTTTGTGATAAATGACTTTTTCTTTTTGTTCAGGATTAGACAGTATTTATATTCAATTAAACTCATTAATTTTTAATTATTATTTATTAACATATTATATTTTATTAACAAGAGTAACACAAAAAGTACATTAAAATCCAAGGTGTTGATGGACATGCTGATATCTATGTGGACGTAAATAAATCTTCTGGTACCCTTCGGGAAAGTCTTGGTTCTGTAAGGAAAATATAAAGAAATAATTAATTGTTTGTCTACTAAAGTGGGCCTCACACGATCAGTATTATTGATTGTATTGGATATTGTCACTATCCCAAAATACTTTCAAGATTGCCAAAGTATATCGGTATACTGACAATCACATCAGTAAGTTTTCCCTCACACAGTCAATATTACTGACAGGACAGTAATGGAAATACAGTCAACAATACTGGTCGTGTGAGGCCCGCTTAACATGCTTGATTAAAATCTATTACTTCTATGACATTGCATTTTCAGTAAATTAATAGAGCAGTAGGTATTATATAGCATTTTTCGTAACATAGAGATCTTTTTTTATAGCAATACAAGAAAAAATATGACTAAGTTGACTGCATCAGAGACTGCATTTATGTAACTGTGATTCGTAATTAAGGAATATTTTAATCATGACATTTAAAACGTTAAAAAACTACAAATTATAAAATTTAAACACTAATACAGGCAACTCTACATACACGTAATTGTATTTTTAGTTGCCTATACACCAACAAAAAGTGCGCCAAAATGCTGTATTTAAAATTAATCATTTATACTAAAATATTTTATAAAATACAATAAAATTGGGTTTTATTTAACATAATCGATTTAAAAAAAGACACCGTCTAGTTTAATTTACCTAAAACGACTTAGCTTCATCTGCAATGATGAATTTTATTCTCAATCGGGTGGTGAATGTTGAATTTAAACAACCTAATGGCATCTTCAAAAGGGAATCTTCAATGGAAGTGCAACTTTCACAAAACAATCTTGTTCCAAAGCAGTACTCCGTAAAAGAACTCAATTTTAAAAGAATGAGAGAAAAAATTAGAAGATTTCACAGCATGTAGATAAATAAAATGAGATAGAAAGAAATAAAGAAATAGAGTTGGTATCTAGAGTTGAGAAAAAAAATTGAATAAAAATGTATAATTAATTTAGAAGTCTCAGAAAAGTTACACAAAAAATATAAAATTACATACATAAGAAGACTTAGAAATGCAATGAATGGAAGAGTTTACAGAATTGCTGAATGATGCCATTCCACAAGGAAGAAAATATGGGAGACAAAAAGTAACTTAGAGATATGATGCATTGAAAAAGAATAAAAAAATATAATACAGGGAATAGAAATGTTGAAATATTATGTCTTACAAGGGTGACATTAATGAATAAGGCAAACAAATAGAAAAGTGAATGATAATAATAATAAAGAAAATATGAGTAAATAAAATAAATAATAGGAATGAATTGGAAAATATGGCACTAAAATGAGGAATGATTTGAGAAAAAATAGGATAAAAATTGATAAAAAAAGCAACAATTCTATACAGGCATATAGAAATGTGATAAATGATTCTAAGCATGCCTTAGAAAAGGTTCAGAAAAATGAGACAATAAAAATATACAAATATATAAGACAATATTGGGAAGAGTTTATAGAACTGATGAATGATGATATCCCAAAAATAAAAAAATATATGACAGACAAAAATAGTGAAATAGAAATAGGCCAAAGGCAAGAAAAAAAAGTATGTGGTCGATAAGAACTGGAAATTTGACCAAAGACTATGCTTAGCCTCCTCTAACGAATATCTAGTCAAAATATGACATCAAGCACATGAAATAAATTCTCCGGAGCACCAAGTTCGCCCCCCCTCATCCGATTTAACCCTTGTCCGACGATTAAGCCTCACCAGTCAGTTCCCATCCCAGCTAAGCAGCCTCGTCTCGGGTCACCCCCGTCACCCGTCGGACGGACATCCACCGGGACCCCCTACAGGCGGACCCCCCTCATCATCTTCAATGTGTCCGATATCCCGCCCCCTGCCCCTTCGAGGGTCACGGAATACGTGCACGAAGAAGTCTCGGAGCTTGGGTGCCAAGTCGTATCCGGCCGAAGCCTCTAGCGTTAGAACACCTAGCTTGTAAACCAGAGGGTGGTGACTCCCTTGGGTACCTATGCATGCTACATAGGTCATCGATGCCCGAACATCAGGGTTAGGGGGCGACCCGGGCCTCCTCTTTTGGGGGGAGGCTAGCTGTGATGCTCTGGAGTCGCTGTTACTCAGGAAAATTCATTGGAAAATGGACTAGGAAAAACACAAGTGACATCGTCTCTGAGATTTTTGAATAAATGGCGAATGCGCCAGGAATTGATTGGAAAATAGTCCTCATTGTGAGATTTTTAAGTATGTTATTGTGTTGTTGACCGGGTTTTTAAATTATATTTAAACACAGGCAAACTAAAGAGACAGAATCCATAAAATTATAGCAATTCATGGCATATGACCTGAGAAAAACGACATGAAAATGAATCCATCAAAACTAAAATTTTGTACAAGGAAATACACAAGCAAAACAGTATTAGAAAAATGATACCATAAGAAAAATAACAGAAATAAAAGAGACTTATTGAAATACAAACAATAAAATATTTTAAAGAAATAATGAATGACGTTATTATGCCTACAATGGAGAAAATATGGGACTCGGGCTATTATAGAAAAATGAAAGTAATCAAAAACGACTTGAAGTAAAATTCTATATAGATTGCATATTTTACAGTCACATAAGACATAAAAATACAGTCAAAGGGATTCTGTATAGAATTGATAAATATGCTATTATACACAAGCAATCATATATACAGGTCTAGCTATTATAGAGAAACGAAAGTAAACCAAAAACAACTTGAAATAGAATTCAAAGTAGCAAATGAAGTGGCAAAAAGATGAAATCTACTGATGAGAGTATTAAATACCAGTTAAAATATATTTACACAAAGGAATTAAATTTTAGATATACTTGTTGTGAGTTCAGATGCATTGTAATATTCATCAAAAAGATAAATGTACTGCTATGGAATTGTCTACATCCATCGATTTGTTGTGGGAAATCTGTAAAAAAAGAAATAAATATTATTACACTTTATTATAATTTATACCTAAATATTTTATAAAATATCTACAATAATATGAGGCGTTTGTCAAATATACTTGATTTAAAAAAAAAATATTTTAGTATAATTTACCTAAAATTGTTTTATTCCTCTTCAATGATGAATGTCATCCCATTCCACCATTGAATGTTGAATATAATCAACCATATGGCATCTTGATGAGGGTGGTTGAATTGAAGTGCAGCTGTCTTGTCCAAAAATCCTTGTTCCAAAGCAGTACAATATCCCATTCAAGAATCGAAAACTATACAATCCCATGTAGGCATCAACAGAAATGAAATCAAAGACTTGGAAGTCTTAGAAGAATTACAGTAAAATAAGAAATAATACACCATAAAGAAGAGATTAAGAAATACAATTAGAAGAAAAACAATAAAGCGAAGGACCGTTGGCCTCATTTGATAGCATCATATCTCTTAAAGAAAAGTGATCTTATGGACAGGAGATTCTAGGATTGTCTGACTGAAAATATTTGCTAGTTCATTTAGCGTTACCCAGGGTGCACCACGTGGAGGCGAACTAGCTTTGCACCCCCCAGAATGAAGACAATATGAGAGACAAATAGAGATAAGATAAATTGAAAAAATTGCATGAAAATAGATGAACTTGGAAAAGTTTCAGAAAAAAAATATA